TTGACCTCAAGATTTTCAATACCAAGGCCCCCCTGGTCCTTTGGTCGACAGATAATATCCCATTTGGCCAGTCGGTATTTTCTCTTAAGTTCATCACTCTGCCAAAAGAATCTGGATCGATAGAAATCCAGCCGTTTCCTAACCCCAACTGGGACCTCAAAGAAGGATAAGAGGAACATAGGTAAACTCGTGAGCACCGAGTTAATAAGAATCAACCGGCCTCCATACGACATGAGTTTTCCTTTCCAGCAACTCAGTTTCTTCTCGAACCGATCCTCGATGCACTTCCACTCGCTGTTTGTTAGCTTACGATGGTGAATCGGAATACCTAGATACGTAAAAGGTAAAGCTCCCACTTCACAACCAAACAATTGTGTATATGCCTCTTGTTCGTCTTTGGCTCTATCAAATCAGAACAACTCGCTTTTATGGAAATTAATCTTAAGCCCCGTCAATTGTTCAAATAAGCATAACACTAACTTCATGTTTCTCGCTTTAGCCAGATCATGTTCCATGAAGAGGATAGTATCATCGGCGTATTGCAGGATGGACACACCACCATCGACCAGATGAGGCACCAAGCCACCCACCTGACCGGCTTCTTTCGCCCTCCCAATCAGGAGTGCCAACATGTCAACCACTATATTGAAAAGTATCGGGGACATCGGATCGCCTTGCCTCAGACCCTTATGCGTTTGGAAATAATGGCCTATATCGTCATTCACTTTGATTCCAACACTCCCTTTTTGCGTGAATGCTTCCACCTGGCGTCGCCAAGCTTCATCAAAGCCCTTCATGCGTAAGGCCTGTTGAAGGAACGACCATTTGACTTTATCATATGCCTTCTCGAAATCCACTTTGAAAATAACTCCATCAAGTTTTTTCATGTGGATCTCATGGAGCGTTTCATGAAGGACCACAACCCCTTCCAGGATGTTCCTGTCCGGCATGAAAGCCGTCTGAGTAGGCTGCACCACTGCGTGCGCAATCTGTGTTAGCCTAATCGTCCCAACCTTGGTAAAATTTTTGAAACTGACATTCAGAAGACGGATAGGCCGAAATTGCTCGATTCTTACGGCCTCTGTTTTCTTAGGGAGCAGCGTTATTGTTCCAAAATTTAGTTGGAAAAGTTGCAAATGTCCCGAGAATAGATCATGGAACATCGGCAACAGGTCCCCTTTAATAATATGCCAGCACTTCTTATAAAACTCAGCCGGAAAGCCATCCGGACCGGGTGCCTTATTATTTTTCATCTGGGATACCGCCTCGAAAACCTCCTTTTCCAAAAAAGGGGCGGTTAATATATCGTTCTCCTCAGCCGTAAGTTGAGGTACATCTTCGAATCTAGACTCATCCAGAGACACGCAGTTCTCCTCTGGTGGTCCAAACAATCGTTTGTAATATTCAGTAATGTAAAGCTTCAAATTTTCCTGCCCGATAATCGTACCCTCATCTTGTTCTAGCTGGAATATTCTCTTCTTCCTATGTTTGCCATTGGCAATCATGCGGAAGAATTGAGTGTTCGCATCCCCCTGGACCACTCTTTGAACCTTGGCCCGCAGAGCCCACTTCAATTCTTCTTCATGAAGGAGTTCTTTGAGCCTCATCTCAGCATCAAGTTTGGTATGAAGCTCGGTGGCAGGCAACACCGTGGTTTCTGCTTTTACATCTAAAGGCTGAATAAGGGCAAGGAGCCGTTCCTTTTCAACCTTATAGACCCCACTGAGATGTTTAGCCCACCCACGTAGGAAACTTCTCAGATGCCTAATCTTATTCTGCCAGTGCTCAAGCGCATTCCTACCGCCTGCATCCTTGGCCCACTCTCTGGCTACGAGCTCCAGGAACCCTTCTCTTTCGAACCACGCAAGCTTGAACGAGAACAAATTCTTGTTGCCCGAGTAGGTAGCCCCACCAGAGTCAAGAAAAAGAGGTGTGTGATCAGAGATCCCGCGAGAGAGAGCCTGGACTGTTACCAAGGGAAACTTCTGTTCCGATTCGACACTTGCGAGTACCCGATCCAACTTCTCAAACATTGGATTTGGCATGGCATTAGCCCAAGTGAACTTCCTACCTGAAAGCTCAATCTCTCTCAGATCCAAGCTTTCAATGATAGTGTTGAACATGAACAACCATCTCCCGTCAAAATTATCGTTGTTCTTCTCATCACGTCTCCTAATAATGTTAAAGTCTCCCCCAACGAGAATGGGGAGCTGCTCAGAACCACAAACTCTAACTAGGTCGGCCAAGAAATCCGGTTTGAATTCTGCCTGCGCGGCACCATACACCGCCACCAGAGCCCAATCAAAACCGTCAACCTTGGACCGCACCCTGAACTTCACCGCAAAATCTCCCATGACCACACTTTGAACTTCGAGAGAATCGCATCGAACACCAAGTAAGATCCCTCCCGATCTCCCTCTCGGTGGCAGACAATGCCAGTCAAACTCAATACCCCCCGAAAGAGTGTTGAGAAATTGTGGTGAAAAATTCGATCTACCCGTTTCCGACAACGCAATAAAATCCAGTCGATGTTCGATGGATGCATCTGCAAGAAACCTTCTTTTAGCCAAGTCCTTAAGACCTCTGCTATTCCAAAAGATTCCTCTCATATCTCGTCGTGGAATTTTTTAGCCGTGCGGATCCTAGCACTCCTACGCACTGCGGACGTTGGGTAAATCTTGCGCTTCCATTTGCGCTTAGGGCTGGTCCTCGCGCCTGCCCGGTCTTCTCTCCCCGTTTCAGGGGGTCTAGCAACTTCCATCTCGACACTCTCATCCTCCTCCTCCGGCTCCGGGAGGGGAGGCGCGAGATCGGCACAAAAATCATCAAGCACCCGGACTCCCAAAGCATCAATCTCGGAATCATTCATGGGTTTGACGGCAACTAAGTTTTGAATCATATCTAAAGCCCTCTCGGCTTCTAGATCGAGCAAATCATTGATGGAATTAGAAATTTCACCCTCGTTACTACCTAGTGAAATCCCTAGTTGGTTTGCATTATCAACAATCTCATCGTTCGAAAAATGCAAGATGGAATTAGAAGTATTAACTGACATACCCGTAGTGACCTGAACGTCACGAAGCTTGGCCGCCCTCACAGCGCACCGCTGCTGCATGTCGTCCACCTCCGGGCGGCCCTGAAGACGACAGCTCAACCGTCGGCCCTCAGCCGCCTGGTCCGGAATCCCGCCGAACCGGATAACCTCCTCCCGAGTGAAGTTGCCCAGGGACTGACCTCCTGTCATCCCCCGGACACTCAACCGGTCTCCACGACCGGGTGAGGGCGCCGAGTCATCTGATGGGGAACCAAGGGCCACGTGCCCCCGGTCCCCATCCACCCCAGACTGTAGGCCAGGAGTGGTCGCCGACGCCATCTGCGTGGCGGTCCCCCAAGGCGCAGAAGATGGAGAGGACCCCGAGGCCACCCGCCCCAAGCCCCCTCCAAAGACTGGGCCTGCGTCCTGCAACATCAGCCCAGCGATAGGAGAGGAGGGCGTCGAGGCCACCTGCCCCGCCCCCCTCCCGACGGTGATCCCTCACTCACGGTATCACCGACCGGAGCACAAGGAGAAGGGGGCGCCGAGGCCACCTGCCTCGACCCCCCTGCACAACTCGGAGCCACCACCTGCAGGTCTGTCGTCTCACCAAAAACCGAGGGGGGCGAGAACACTATCTCCAAACCCTCCTCCTCGCAAGAGCCCTCCACACCTGGATCCTCAAAGTCCAACGCGGGTAAAGAGTGCTCAAAATCCTCCAAAGACTCCACCCGGTCGCTCCAAAGCCTCGGAGGTGCAGTAGCAGGCTCAATAGATCCAAATCTCAGAGTGGTCGACGGCAGTGAAGAAGGCGGCGCCGTCCCACCTCCGGTCGTCTGAGCAACAGACCCTGGTCCCTCGGACATCTCTCGTCCAGGATCAGCGGTCGGAGTCTCCTTAACCCCCGCACCCTCATCATCCTCGTGCATATCAACATCAGTGGCAGCAGGTGCCTCAGCAAAAAGGCTGTCATCCTCAAACTCAATCTGAAGGTTGTAAACCTGCCCTTGATACGCCCACTTAACCACATCAGGCACAAACTTGATGTCCAAAATACTGACCCATCAACGTACTGTCTCAGTGGAGCCATGATGTCCATTTTATCCCTAGTTAGAGCCCGTCGAAACTCGGCATCTCACAACACAGAGGGGTGTATCCCCCGACCAGATGTCTTTCCAAAATCTTGTACTTTCTCCAATCCCAATGACGAAAGACCCCCTACTAACAAAAAGATCCTCTTTCAGTCTGATCAAACCTTTCCAAGTGGCAAGTCCGTAGGCTTGTCTAGAGAAAGAGTTTTAGACCTGAGGTATTTGTTAGGAAGTACTTTTTGCCATACTAGTTTCAGTTAAAGAAGCTTGAAAAGACATTTGTTGAGCAACCATGTGTTTGTAATATGAAGATCCTCAATACCGTGACCCTTTGGTCCCATGGATGACATAAAACTTGCCACTTCGCTTTTTTTTTGTGTGTGTGTGTGGGTAAACTTCCCACTTGGTTAACCGATACTTCCGCTTATGTTCATCACTTTGCTAGAAAATTTTGCATATGTGAAGGAAGTGCCAATATTTAATATATACCATCTGGTTTTATAAATTCATTTCCCAAAATTATTGGAATCGAAGATTCACTTGGAAAAATAATTTGACAAATTAAAGATGTTGCCCTTGCGCGGGGTATCTAGCTAGTTCTGCAAATTGAGGATCCAAGGGACAATTGCATCCAGCTCTAAACACACCATCATGATTTCAGTGGTAGTGCATGCTTCCAAAGCCCAGCTTCATGCCTGGGCCATCCTTCGGAAGGGAAAAAGAAAAAACCATCCACGCATCTCTCTCTCTCGAACCCCTATTTAAGCCCCTACATTCTCCACTACATTCTCCACACCACCATGAGTTGCTCATCTCTCCACCCAATCATCACTAGCTAATACGGTGCACTGTTAGCTACAGACCAAGAAGTGATCATGGCCCGCGCTCAGGTAATGCTCATGGCCGTCGCCTTGGTGCTGATGCTCGCGGCGGTCCCGCGCGCTGCCGTGGCCATCGACTGCGGCCACGTTGACAGCTTGGTGAGACCCTGCCTGAGCTACGTTCAGGGCGGCCCCGGCCCGTCTAGGCAGTGCTGCGGCGGCGTCCAGACCCTCCATAACCAGGCGCAATCCAAGAGCGATCGCCAAGCCGCTTGCTACTGCCTCAAGGATATCGCTGGTCGCATCCACAATCTCAACAAGGACAACGCCCGCAGCCTCGCCCCCAAGTGCGGTGTCGACCTCCCATACCACATCAGTCTCGACATCAACTGCAACAGGTGATTAATTCACATGCAAGCATATATATATGAACATTCATCCACGTAAAATTTATTGGTATTAACATTAATCAAATCTTTGCACGCATGATTGACCTGCAGTGTGTAATGAGCGACGATCCGTCAAGCTGGTGCTCAGCTCATCCATCCACGTGGAGTTGAAGCGCGCAGCCTCTATCCCTATGTAGTATGGGCACTAGTTATGCGAGTTTATACTGAATATGAATAAGAACTCTCTCCTGCTGGCTTGCTGGTACTCCTCTGGAGGAGATCAGTATCTGTGTACCTGAGAGTTAAGAGTTTGTACCATGGGCACTCCCAGTGTTTATGGACTTTTATACATACAGCTCGTTCTGTTCAGTGCGTGACTTATCTCTGTTTCCTCACGTTCGCCTGTCATATACTCCTTCCATCCGGTATTAGTTGATGCTCAAACAGATATATCTGAGTATTTAACAAAAAACTACCACAATTCATGAAACCATCGCAAACTCCTTTTTACCGGTGACGGGATGTACCGGCTAAGCATCTGCCGTTCATCCACTTTGCGATTCGTGCGATTTCCAGGCCCACACCTCACGTATATTAGTGTATTCCCAAGGAGCATGGCATATTCAACATTGTGTCATATCAGATGGCAGGTCCATGTCAGTGATAAAGTAGTACTTTATGCATGCCTGATTCATTCTCTCTTCTAGTTCACGTAAAGGTGCATATGCATGCGAGATTAAATCCTGCCTTTTATTTTCTCTTTAGCAATTTCATTCAATCATATCTTTAGAACTACAATCCCATTTTAGAAATATTTTTTATATTTGAACTCCTAGCACCAAGACCTTTAGAACAAGATCAATCTTGAATGCATTTAAACATGATTAAATTTCAACGTTGCAAATGAGTGAAATCAGTTTTCTGAAATAAGTGAAATCAGCTTTCTGAAATAAGAGAAACCATTTTTTTGAAATGGGATTTTTTTTTGTTTTTCATGTAAATGAAACATATTTCAGTGCAAAATATGTGAAACTAGTTATTTTAAAAATGTGAAACTAGTTATTTAAAAAATGTGAAGCTGATTATTTCCAATCAGTTCTAAAAATAAGTTAAATCTATCTTTGAAACAAGTGGAATTGTTTTTTCAATCTAGTGACTGTAATGTGTTTTTCTGAAACTAGTGAAATGAGTGAAATCTATCTTTTATAATTAGTGTAATCAGTTTTTTGAAACAAGTGGAATATAGTATTTTAATTGAGTGAGTGTAATGCGTTTTCTGAAATAAGTGAAATGTGAGAAATAAGATACTTGAAAAAAAATTGAAATATATCCATTGCTCTGTGAAACTATCTATTTCAATGTTTGAAACTGATTTTTGTGATGAGTGAAATACGTTTTAAGATATTTCATAAATACAAAGTGAAATTAGTATTAGAGATTTTTTTGTTGTAAAGAGTGAATCAGTTTTCCAAATCAGTGAAATGTGTCTTTTCAAACTAGTGAAATACTGATTTTGAAATGAGTGGAATTATATTTTTTGAAATGGGTGAAATCTATCTTCTGTAAATGAGTGTAATTTGTTTTCTAAAACTAGTGAAGTGAGTGAAATCTATCTTTTGGAATGAGTGAAATCAGTTTTTTGAAACGAGTGAAACATAGTATTACAATTGAGTGAGTATAATATGTTTCTCTAAATTAAGTGAAATCTAATTATGTAATTGAGCGTAATGTGTTTTCTAAAATGAGTGAAATTAGTTTTAAGCTCTATATTTTTAATTTAGTGAAATATTTTTTTAAACAAGTGAAATATAGTATAGTATTTCAATTGAGTGAGTGTAATGTGTTTTCTGAAATGAGTGAAATATATCTTTTGGAAATTAGTGTAATGTGTTTTTTGAAATTAGTGAAATCTATGTTTGGAACGAGTGAAATTTTCTTTCTTAACTGCTATTTTTTAAATGAGTGAAATCATTTTTCTGAAATTGTTTTTCTGGCGTGTGAAAAATGTTAATTGGGTTATTTCAAATACGTTCAAATGATTATTTAAAAAATATGAAACTGGTATTTATGAAATACATGAAACATATTTCAATGTGTTTGTCAAGTTGTTTATTCAATGTGTGAAACTGATGTTTGTGAAATACAACTAAACTGAAATATGAAAAGTATAAAATTCAAATTGTTCAAAATATATCCATGACTGGTCTTGTTTCAAAGGTCTTGTCGCCCTGAATTCAAATATATCATTTTTTTTCAAAAACACAGTTTAGATTCAAAGCATATTTACCATCCAAAACATTTTCCAAAGAAATTAAATAAAAGTCTTGCGTAGGGAGAGAGAGAGGATAATATATGTACCAGCATGTATGTAAATGTTCTTTTCCCTGACAAAAGCTGTTGCATGCGAAGGGACCCACATTTGTATTACCAGTGTATAGAGTTGGGGCTGCAATTAATAGTTTATACCGACGAAAACCACGCAGATCTTGACGAAATGAACGAAGTGTGGATTCAACACTGGTACAACCTGGCTTCGGTAAAATTACTTATTCGGTGAAACCGTGACTTGCACTACCACTTTACAAATTTATGCGGAAAACTATCATTTTTCACTAATCTTTGACTAAAAACTACCATGTATGAAAAATGCCCAATTCGCCTCGTTTAAACTCAATTATGACATAATTGGCCCACACAGTGTCTATCTTCTTGCTCCTCCTATATCTCTCTTAGTCATTTCAACAAACACCTCGTCTTCATGCCCCAGGAGCTCGCCGGCGAGGTAGTTGTTGGCGAGGCCCAACACGGCGAGCCCGGGCGCCCTGAGGAGCGTGGTGGGGAGCCAGCCCGCGAGCGCGTTGTCGGATAGGTTGAGTTCCTGGAGCACCCGCGCGTAGGACGCGTCCGGGAGCGCGCCGGAGAGGTCGTTGCTGGCGATCAAGAGCACGTGCAGCTCGGTGGCGTTGAGCAGCAGCGCGGCGGGGAGGTTGCCGTTGAGGCCGTTCCCGGATAGGTAGAGGTGGCGCAGGTGCTCAACGCAGGCCAGCTCGGTGGGGAGCGACCCGGGCAGCTGTGCGCCGGGCGACGAGTTAGCTGGCCTTCGCTGGCTGCTGCAGACAGGGAAAGGGCGCATGCTGGTGCCCGTCCTTGCCGCCGCCACCTGCTGCTACCTCCGGCTGCTCGCCACCCCTGGTGTGGCCACTCGCCGTCGCCACCTTTTTCTTCCCCCAGCAGCTCGCCTGAGGCCGTATGGGAGGTCGGCCAGCGTGCGGCAAGGCCCACGGTAACCAGCCACAGCTCAGAGTCGGCCACCGCTCACAGCTGCCTCCGCCAAGGGCGGCCATGGCTGGCTACAGCCACGGCTTGGCCGCTGCCACGAGCAGGGGCGGCCACAGCCACGACCGGCTACAGGACTGGATTGCTTTTTTGAAAAGAAAACTAGGGACCCGATTGATTTTTTAGCCCGCTTAAGTGTGGACCCAACTAGAAAAAGTTTAAAAGGGCCAAATCAGGCTTTTTTCAGACATGATAGTTTTAGTCAAGGATTAGTGAGAAAATGGTAGTTTTCAACATAAATTTGTAAAGCCTCGATATATCTAAACATATTTTAATGATAGGCACTTCCGTTCAAGCATGAGCTTTTTTACGGTACCCGGTATTCCCGGGAGTAGTGGGGGAGTACCAATGAAATCCATCCGTTGGTTTGCAGTGTTGTCTTCCAATCTTTAATATAGGTTCCCAAATCCACCAGCCTAATCAAGTGCATGCGGCCGCGCATCCACCGCTGGAGACACTTTCATCGCCGTGCGACGAGTAACCCATCAATTATGTGTTTCTTCAAAAAACATAAAGTTGATGGCCATAGGATGTACGGTAATTTGAGGCGAATAAAACATGTTGTAGTGTGCAGTTTTCATCAACGACACATTCCGTCTGAATTGCATAACTGTCGTTGTCTGAAAGATTTAATTTAGGGCTGAATTACAGATCAGAAGAGGCATGTCGCTCGGAAGATTCGAATGTGATGGAATTTCTTCAAACGAATTCAGACGAAGAAGATGTTGATCTACACACGAGTTTCTTGCATAATCTACGTCTCTGTCGGCTCCGTCCATGGCTCACCGCCTACGGGCATGCAGGTTGTGGCTTGAGCGCTCGGGGCATGTGGCTGCCCACCCATTCCCGCCGGTGGCCGAATAGCCGGTGCATTGCCACCACAGAAATTGCGCATGAACTTAGGATTAAGAAATTAGATATATTGTCAAATTACTATTTTGACCCTTAGATCATGGTACTCCCTTGTTCTTAATGGTGGTACTCTCAAACATTAGAAGTGAAGTATCAATCAACATCAACCAATGGATTAGGAAGAATGAACGGTCCATATTAGTGTGAGGGTACTGGCAAAGCGTTTTGAAGCGTCAACTAAGTCCGGTCAGAGAAACTAATGTGAGAGAACGTCGTGCCTTAGCTCTGGGCGAGGGCTTCGTGTTAAATAGCCAGGGGCGCAACTCCCTGGGTTAGCGTACAGATGGGATCGAGTACATCTTCAAGAACAAGGGATAGAATAGAGAGATAACAACAGAATATTTGAACAAACTATCTCTATCTATCTAGGTTCGGTTGACATCCTGAGGGCCGAAGGTTATCACGTAGGATCTCCATATGTGTCGTTTAACACCCTTCCTTAATCACAACTTTGTCAAGTTAAGATTACGCTTGAACTCCTCAAGATTCCTCGTGGGCAATGCCTTTGTAAATCCATCTACAATCTGATCACGTGAATGCACAAAATGAATTTCTAATTTCCTGTTAGCAACTCTTTCTTTGACAAAATGAAAATCTATCTCAATGTGTTTTGTCCTGGCATGAAACATTGGATTATCAGATAAATAGATAGCACCAAGGTTATCACACCATAAGCATGGGGCTTTAGTGCATTGCACACCAAGCTCCCTCAACATGAACTGAACCCAAATAATCTCAGATGTAGCATTTGCTAGTGCCTTGTACTCAGCTTCTGTACTGGACCTTGATACAGTGGCTTGTTTTTTTGCACACCATGATATCAAGTTTGGACCAAAAACACTGCAAAACCACCAGTGGAGCGTCTGTCATCTAGACATCCAGCCCAGTCAGAGTCAGAAAAAGCACTAATGCGCTTTGCAGCAGTCCAATGAGTTTTGGTGGGAGCATGAAGAAACTGACATACTTTGTTCACAGCAAAGGAAATATCAGGTCCTGTCAACGTTAAATATTGAAGTGCTCCTACTAAACTCCTATATCTGGTACTGTCCTCTTGACTCAATGGTTCTCCTTCTGCAAGGGATAATTTCTCTGTACTAGACAATGGAGTTGGTGAGGACTTACACCCTTGCAACCCAACTCTTCTTACTAGATCATTGGCATATTTTCCTGAGAGAGATGAAGACTGTTTTCATGTTTCTTGACTTCAATCCCTAGAAAGAAATGCAAGTCTCCCAAATCTTTAAGAGCAAACTCAGCACTCAGATCCTTCAACAGTCCTGTCACTGCCTCATCAGATGAACTTGTGACAATAATATCATCAACATAAATAAGAACAAATATGGATGTATTTGACTTATTATAGATAAACAAAGATGTGTCAAACTTAGAAGGAATGAAACTAAGTGTCTGCAACTTTTGATTGAGTCGTGAGTGCCATGCTCGAGGAGCCTGCTTTAGTCCATATAAAGCTTTGTCAAGTTTACACACATGAAATGGCTTGCTTTTACTTACAAACCCAAGAGGTTGTTTCATGTAGACTTCCTCTTCCAGAACACCATGAAGGAACGCATTCTGTACATCTAGCTGTCGAAGACTCCATCCCCTGGACACAGCAATGGACAGTACAAGACGAATGGTTGCAGCTTTCACAACAGGACTAAATGTGTCCTCGTAATCTATACCACATCGTTGCTTAAAACCTTTTGCAACTAGTCTGGCCTTGTAGCGATCTATAGTTCCATTAGACTTTCTCTTGATTCTGAAGACCCACTTGCAATCAATTAATTTTTACCTTGCTATGGGGGAACGAGATGCCATGTTTTATTTTTCCGAAGTGCCATGCATTCTTCTTCCATGGCCTTTTCCCACTGTGCATCACTAAGTGCCTCCTCAAGAGTACTTGGTTCACCTATTGAACATGCTAGGCCAAACTTTGTTATTTTCTTATAATTGACAGGTTTTGTTACCACTTTCTATAGACGTGTACGCGGAGGAACAGGTGTTGTTGTAGTATTGTCCGACGCAGAAGATCCAGCCGCTGCACCGGTAGATCCCGACGCAGATCCTTCCAGTGCCCCTGTTGCACCAGGGAAGGAATCCACGGGATTTTCTGTGGCGATGGTCTACAGCAGCTGCGATACAGCCGGTGCAGAAGATCCCGCGCCTGGCTGCGGGTCCACTGGCGACCCATCATGGCGCAATGATGGCGTGGGCCTGCGCGAATCCGCGCCGGATCGCGTGCCGCCAGACGGATCAGCTGGGCTCCGCGCCTGCCTCCTGTCTGTTGGGTGCGGCACCGGTTGGTTGCCGTCGGATGTAGTGGCGGGGCCCATCTACGGGCCAGCGACCCTGCGTGTCTGCACCAGATTGATGGGCGCCGGAGGGCGTGCCTGAGCCAGTGGAGGGGCGCCACGTGCCAGGCGCTGGGTCGCTAGAGGCGCGCCTGGTAGGCGCCACGAGTTCCCGTGGGCTGCTACCCTGCTGCTGCGTCGATCCCGAGGCAGATTCGCTACTGGGCTACTGCAGTTCCAATCCCGATGAGGATCTGTGCCCCAGCCCTGGACACATAAAATGTGGGCTGTTTTCATCACCGTTTTGGGTGATTTCTGCACCCTTTTCATCTGCATCATCACAAAGCTCAAATGCATGGTTATGAGAGTTAGTCAGTGATTGATCAACACAATTATCTCCCCCTTGATCAAGACCGGTAAGGCTAGATGGGAGGAGAAGAATTTCTTGACGAAGTAGTGCACCGGCGTTGGGATGAAGGTTGGAAAACGGGAACTTTGTTTCATCAAAGACTACATCACGAGAGAGATATACTCGGCCCGTAGGAACATCGAGGCACTTAACACCTTTATGCTTGGCACTATAGCCAAGGAACACGCATTGCTTAGAGCGGAACATTAGTTTGCGATTGTTGTATGGACGAAGATTGGGCCAGCAAGCACACCCAAACACACGAAGAGAGGTGTAGTCGGGTTTGGTGTGAAGGAGTCTTTCCATAGGAGTTTCATTGTTAATGACACGACTAGGGAGCATGTTGATGATATGAACGGCAGTGAGAAATGCCTCATCCTAGAACTTGAGGGGCATGGAGGCGCCAACTAAAAGAGCTAGGCCAACCTCTACAATGTGTGTGTGCTTGCGTTCGGCAGACCTGTTTTGTTGGTGAGCGTGCGGACAAGACACATGATGAGAGATTCCAAGTTTTTGGAAGAAAGAGTTTAGTTTCTCGTATTCCCCTCCCCAATCAGATTGGAGGGCAAGAATTTTACTATCAAATTGGCATTCAACTAAAGCTTGAAAGTTGAGAAAAACTTGGAACACATCGGATCTTTTCTTAAGAAGATAGATCCAAGAGAACTTGCTATAATTGTCAATGAAACTCACATAGTATGTATGTCTACCAACAGAAGAGGGGGCAGGACCCCAAACATCAGAAAAGATAAGAAATACTTGTAGAAACTGGATAGGGTAACTGATGACTTTTTGCCTTTTGGCATGAATCACAAACTGTTTCAACATCACGCTCTCCAACATATGGGAGCTTATTTTTCCTAAGCAATCGCTCTACTAAAGACAAAGATGCATGTCCTAAACGATCGTGCCACCATGTTGAAGACACTTTGGTGGCACTAAACACTTGTTTATTCAATCTTCTAATCTCCGGAACCAAGGGATAGAGTCCACGAACACATCTACCTCGATATAGCACCTTCTTCGTTGCCTGATCCTTGATCAAAAAGAAGAAATGGTGAAATTCAAGAAAGACATGATTGTCAATTGTAATGCGGTGAACAGAAAGAAGATTTTTTGAAGCACTAGGGACATGCAAAATTCTTTTAAGGTGAATTTTTCTGTGAGGGGTTTTGATAATTGAGT